GAGCATAGGAACTAAATGCTGCTTCTCCATGTTTAGTTCTGGTTCTAGGTATGCAGAGCAGGCTGGATGTATTTAGGTGCTAAGCCATTCAGAGATTTATCGACTAACAGGAGTATTATATATATATATATATATATATATATATATATATATATATATATATTCATTACATCTTTTTGTCTGATCTCCAATGAACACAAGACATTCTTAAAAGGTGAATAAATGTTTAATTAAGAAAAGAAATGCTTGCCTTACCTTAGTGCAAAACGCAAACATTATAATGCACAAGACAAACTTTTAGAAAAAAAAGAAAATAAACGCTGCAATCACAGAAAAAAACATTAGTAACCCTACTGTGTGTGTTTTGGTATGACATCAAAATTGAATCGACCGTTACTGACAGACATTTTCAGTTAAAAACAGCACTTTGTGTGGACAAAATACCTCAAGTATCTTTCATCTACTATTATTATGAACCAACTTTGGAGTTTGACTCCTCAGAGCTGAGGCACAAGGGAACTTTGCTCAGGTCGCTACTGTAGCTGTGCTAGGCTAGCTAGTTCAAACAGTAAAGCTGTTAACAACAAACTAAACATGTTAGCGCGCGGCTAAAGCGTCACAATCACGAACACAGCCTACCTGGAAAAAGCCCGTCGCTGCTCGGGCTGTCTTCGACTTGAGAAGTCCTGACGCTAAAAAGAAAACGTTTTTTCATAAAACGAAGCAAAAATCACCAAAAAAAAGTGTGGTGATATCAGCGACTGACGGCAGGAATAACAGCAAATCAAAGGAGGGGTGTTTATCTTGGAGGGGTTGCAACTTCAGCAACAGTATGAAAAACCAACTTATCTGTAGCTGGCATGGCAAGAGGGAGGGGAGAAGCTCCACCCAGAGTGTCGGGGCTCTCAATCACAGAGTGGGTTCCCCACTGTGGGTCCTCAGAGGCGTAGCCAGAAAATTTTTATAAGGGTGGCCAGTATGGAGGGATTTTTCTGCCAAAACGTTGTGTACAAAAATGTATGGAAGAGGATTAGGGCCACTGAAAAAAAAAAAGTTAACTGATTTTTAAATTTTATTTCAGTTTAATATGGTGAAAAAGTCAGAATTCTGACTTTTTTCCCTCAGAATTCTGACTTTAATCTCAGAATTCTGACTTTTTTCTCAGAATTCTGA